TTGAATCCTTGAGAAGGAGAAAGAATTTAGGGAGCAGAAAAGAGGGTAGGAAATGCAAGTAGTAAGGAGGAAGGAGACAGGAGAAGGCTCAGAAGAGAAGACTGTGGAAGCAGTGACATGGGGACAGAAAATATAGGAGGTTGATACCGGATGCATTTGAAATGGGATTCTGTCTCAGGAATGGTTGAGAGCAGGTGGGGTTGGGAGGGTTAAAGTACCTGTTGTGTGGTGGGAACAGTGTGGCATGTTCCATATGTTAACTTATGTATTCTTTAAAACAAGCCAAGTGATAGCTACATAACTTAGATAATTCGGTGCTGGGGGGAAAAAAACCCTGTTGGTCGTCTCCTTTCATTCAAGGAGTGTTTATTGAGATCCTACCTATGTTATTGGCAGCAGCTAGGACTACAAATAGACGTTAGAATATGGAAGTTACCTAGGTACAGGTCATCCCTGACTTGAGACTTCCTTGTCCACATGAACAGCTGGTGGATATGTTACCCAGGGGCACGATGACCTCTGAGGAGAAGGAACACTGCTTTCTCAACCCAGATAGTGCATTCTGTTGGGGAACTCAGCTGCTGTCGTGAAGACTGGTGAGAAAACAAATTGCTTTTCTTCAGACAAAATTAAAAAGAAGACAAAGAAGTATATTGTAGCATCATGAATTTTCAGTTTGATCTTGACATTTATTGTACCATAGAAATAGTTTTGGTACCTTACGTATTTAACCAGGTTTGTGGGTTGACATCTAATAGCCGCTTATACACAGTTTATATGAGCTTCTTATTGTTGAATGCTGTCAAGCTCATTCTGCCCTATTGGGACCCCATGTGTAAAAAGAAATGTAGGCACCATGAGGCCAGCTAAATCTGACCTGTTGACTCCACAAAGGTGATCTGTGTCCATCAACAACATCCACAGTACAAAACTAGCTCTTATAATGTTATACATGGTCTCCCATGCTCCTGCACTGACTTCTACTAATTCCAACACCAATGTTACTGCGCTTCTGGATCCAAAATTCATTGCAATGACCACATAGACTTCACTGAACTATTATTGTGGTTATGGGGCTTATTAGGGAAGCTAACAGATTTGCAGCAGGATACAATCCCTTAGTCCAGACAGCTTCTCAAGCATAGTCACAGGCCCTTTGACCTTCAGCTTCATGGGTTAGGTCATTATTACAGAGTTCCCTTAGTCCTGTCTTTTTTTCAGTCTTTTGGTTTTATGTTGTCTTCCCTCAGTCCTTTAGCAAGCCTGGCTTGGGTTGAAGGCCTCTGGTTCTGTAGGGCAGCAAACTCAAGATGATGTTGTTGTTATGTGCTGTTGAGTCACTTGAAACTCATAGCAACCTTTCGTACAAGAGCCCTAAACTCTGCTCTATCCTGTGCCAACCTCGCCATCTCTGACACACTCATTCCCACCACCCCAATCACAGAATCGATCCATCTTATGGAGGGGCTTTCTTTCTTGCGCTGTCCCTCCACTCTCCCAAACATGATGTCCCTCTCCAAGGACCAGTCCCTCCTTGCAACATACCCAAAGTATGTCAGATGAAGTTTCAGAATCCTTGCCTCCGAGGAGCAGCCCAGTTTCACCCTCTCTAGGACAAACCTGTTTGTTCTCCTACCAGTCCATGGTATATTCAATACTCTCCTCCAGCACCACAGCTCAAAGGCATCAATTCTCTTTCTATCATCCCGAGTCACTGTCCAACTCTCCGATGCATAGCACATAATTGCAGAGTCTCTGTCTTATGCTGATCTCTGTTTTTCTGCTGAAGCTGCTGCTTCTCTTGTGTAGGTCTTAATCTAGCTAGCACAGGAATTTCTGGCCTCAGAGGACAGAACTTCCTCCTCTTTGTTGATGTTGAGATTTGCAAATTATATTGCTGAAACAGTTCAGTTCATACCCAGTGGGATAGCAGGACTACTCAACATCCTTGTGGATCGAGTAGCACTTCCTGTTTGTTTGATCCCACCCAGCAGTGTGGTGAAGTCAAAGTCAATGGCTAGGAAACTCTGCAGTTCGAACTATAAGCTCTTGACCGCACACCATGTGACAGAGGAGGAGGACCTCTAGAGTTTTCTTGGTTGTTGCTTGAGGTGAGGTGTCAGATCTTTCTACCGTGAAGTGACTGGGTGGGTTTAAACTGCTAACCTCTTGGTTAACAGCTGACTACTCAGTTGTTGTACCACCAGAGTTGGTGAATTCTTGATAATGGTCTTAGAAAGGAATTTGCGTTATGCCATCTTCTTTTTTTTTTGTCTAAAAAATTAATTTTAAAGAAAGTTTACAGAGAATTAGGATTTCCATTTATTCATTGTTGCACTTTTCTCCCCCACCCCACCCCTCTCCTCCCATTTGTTCTTCTCTTTGAAAAGTAAAAGAAAAATTTTTTCATTGTTATACGATCCCTTCCCCTAAGTCCACTCCACTATGCTGCCTTCATTTTGGACTCCTGTCATGACAATAATACCTCATCATATATCCCTTTTAAACAGTTCTCTCCCTCATCAGTTTCAAAGCAGTAATACATTATTTATCCAATCTTTCTCAGTCTCCCCCAACCTCTGTGTCAGTCCTCTTTTATAACAGTGCCATTATTCAGTATTTGTCTTTTTGTGCCTGAGATATTTCACTCAGCATAATGTCCTCCAGGGTCACCCATTTTATATATTATTTCATGAATTCCTTGTTTCTCAGTGCACTGTAGTATTCCATTGTGTGAGTATACCAGAGCTTCTCTATCCATTCATTTGTTGATGTGTACCTGGGTTGTTTCCAACCCTTTGCTATTGTGAACAAAGCCGCAATAAACATAGGTGTGCATTCCATCTTCTTACATGTTGAAACTTACTGTAGACCTCTATCATTTGTGACTTTGGTAATTCTCTTGTTTTATGTCTTGATGAAGAATGAGAAATTTAAGGTGAAAATAAAAACACAAAAACTATATGGCCCCATACACACAATAAAAATGCCAAGGACAGCTTGCTGTAAGTCATGTTGAATACCGTTCATTGAGTTGGAACTGATCCACAGCTGATCCTTCAGCGGGTTTTCAGAGACAGTAAATTGCACAGGAGGAGATTGCCCATATTTCTCCTGCAGAGCAGCTGATGGGTTAGAATTTGTGCCTTTGTGTTGGGAGCACTTACCACTAAGCCATCAGTGCTCCATCAGAATTCCCATTCCCAGGCCCACTCTCTCTGCTCTTGTCGTCTTTACATTGTACCATCAATCTCTGAATAATAAAGGATGTCACGCTTGAGAAGGGTGGCTGGACAGCAGAAAAGAGGAAGACCTCCATCGAGATGGCTTGACGTGGTGGCTCAGGTATATCAGAGATGTTGAGGATGGCACAGGCTAGGACGGGACACAGGTCTTTTGTTCACAGGGTCACTATGAGTCGAACTCAACTTGCTGGCCCCTAACAGCAACAACACGATGAGCTACCCTGGTTAAATATTTAATTTTGGGGTCATAACCAGGGACCAAAATACCAGGCCTGGATTTTATGAATGCAATAAAATGGTTCAGAAAGTACGAGGCTTGGAGTGGGGCTTGCGTCTCACGGGTCAGTGATGGCTCTGCCCTGTATGTTTCTCAGGGAGTGGATGGTGATGGCAGCTTATCTTTATTTAGATTTGTTATTTTGAGGAAGCCAAGATAAGACATTTCTGTGGGATGGCCACAGCCCGTGTGCAAGAATTATTTTTATAGAGCAGCTTGTGCCTTCCTGTTCCCCTGTTCCTTCAGCTTCAGGGAGAAGTGAAATTTCCTGTAACGGCTGCTGGTAAATCAACAGTAAGTGCTCATTAAAAGCCCACTTCTCTAGCCATCTCCCAGCTGTTGCCTGCATATTGCATAGGGAGTCCTTGGGACATCTTACAGAGGCATCTACGATAGATACCTTTATGAGTTGCATAAAATGAAACGTAGAAATTGGTATGGCGATGATGGAAGTATTCTTTCTAGAAATACAGATAAATTTCAGGAGGTGGAGACTGGATTAAAGGGTCTTGTGGTGGTTGGTCGCTGTCTGTCAGCCTCCAGCTCCCGACAGCCATATGCACAACAAAACAAAATGCTGGCCCGTGCCCATGACTAGAGATCCTTCTGTTATGAGCCATGGCTTTTCATTCCTGATTCTTGGGAGTGAATCACGAGCTGCTTCTTCCTAATTTGTCTTAGTCTGGAAACTCCACTGAAATCTGTCCATGATCAGAGCAGCACACACCCCTCCGCCGACAGATGGACGTGGCTGCACTTGAGGTCCTTTGACGAGGAGCCGTCTCTGACTTTGTGCTGTGGCTCTGAGTCTGTTACTCCATTCACTTCAGTCCTGCCAGGTTTGAAGACTTGCCTTGTTTGATAGGAGACCGCAAGCAAGTTGAGAACCATTTCCTTCACATTATGTGTGTTCTCCACTGTTTGCTGTGCAGAGGTGCAGTTGCACGGATGGGTGGTTGGGTGGATAGAAGAGTCTGGGAGCTTTCATTATCTCAAGCCAGGTTCAGGTTGCACGGATGCATGCTTGGCTGTGTGACCATTTGACAGAGGACCAGCGTCTTGCCCTCCCCTTTGACATTCCGTAGATCTGTTGGCTTTCCTTCCTCCACCTTGGTCTGAGTTGATCCTATGGAGGAGATGAGTGTTGTCTCCTCTCCTTCTTAACCCCTCAATGTTTGTTTTCCCAAAGGCTCTGTATTTGTTTGGTCTTTTTGCACTTCGTGGGATATTCAGTGCCATTTCTAGCACTACAACTCAAAGGCATCAAGTTTGACTGAAACTTATGCTTAATTACCTTAATGATTCTCTAGTTCTAGAGTCACAGAATTGTGGGATGGGAGTATCGCGTGAGGACGAGTTACTTGTTCTTAAATTCATTTGTGCTAGACTGGAGGAGAGCCCACTGCCTGTATGTATGTCGGGTAGAAAAGAGAGAAATCTGTTGAAGGTCATTGTTTTAAATTTCTTTTCTCTTCCAACAGGGAGAGTCACGAATTCTCAGAGTAAAGGTTCTTTCTGGAATCGATCTTGCCAAGAAGGACATCTTTGGAGCCAGGTAACCTTGCTTTGCTTATAATGGGCTTCTGAAGAGCCTAGGAAGCATGTTTCCAGTGTAGACAGCTATCGGCATCACCTGGAGGGGTTTCCAAGGAAGGTGTCCAGGTCACCTACCTCCAGGGTCTCTGGTTCCAAAGATGGTGCTGATACAGCCAGTGCTAGAGCCGCACTTTGAGCAGGAGAGCTAGACCTTGGGACACTTGGGCAGACTGGACTGGACATACTTCATACAGAAATTAGATTCTGGTATTTCTCTTTTTCTTTTTCTCAGCAGAAAAATACAGTTTGGGGGTATGATCTATATATTATGGCCAGATCTATATATTATGTTGAAGAGCCAGCAAAACAAATCAAAATGCCTTGATTTAGAAACGTAGAAGCAGGAAGACACTGTCTGTTGGTCATCTGAATAAAGAGTTTTAGTGCTTGACCAGTAACTAGAATTATACCTTGAGGCCATCTTTAAACACTCACTCTTTCATTATAGTAGAGATTTGGTAAATTAGTAAAATGGCCTGCAGAGCAATCACTGAACACATAAAACTGATGTCAATATACATATCAGTGAAACGGTTATCAAAACTCTGTAGTCCTGTGCATCCCCTGATGGTCAGAGAGTCTTGTCTGTGCCCCTGAGAAGTCCCTAGATATTCTCACACAGTGCACCCCTGTCTGCCTGTCCTCTTGGTGGGGCCATAAGAGACCTGCTACCACCAAGAAAGAAAAGTTAGGAATGAAGCATGCCCTTTGAACCCAGGGTCCCTGTGCTGAGAATCTCTTCATCCCAGAGGATGATGGGTATCAAAACATATGGATTTCTGCAAGGAATGCTGGGCTTGCAGGTGCCGAAAAGAGACAAGGACCTGACCTCAAGACTGTGACTCAGCAGAGAGAACTTTCCCCTGGAGCTGGTGCCCTGGATTTGGACTTCTAGACACATAAATTCAGAGTGAATACATTTCTGTTTGTCAGAACCATTCACTTTCTGTTACGGCAGCACTAGATAACTAAGACATCAGCAATGACATGGTGACAGCATGAATGAAGATGCCAGTGTCCCCATAATGAACATGCTAGAGTGGGAGAGGAGTCCACGGGACTGCAGTGCCCAGCGGCTCAGGCCACAGTCAGGTGTAGGCTCTGCATAGAGTGTCCTCAGTTGCCACTGGGGTGAGACCCCCTCTCTGTGTCCTCCAGAGCTCCTGCCTGCAAGTGCCCCAAGTCCCCAGCTCTGCTCAGAGCCTGCCTTGACCTCTGTAAGGCTGCATAGGAATTGAACCCCCTTCTGTAGTAACAAGCATGGACCAATGTTTTTACATAGACATAAAAAAGAAAATACCTGTTGACTTGATTCTGACTTACTGTGACCCCGGTGGAAAGAAAAGAAGCACTTTATAGTGTTTGTAGTGGCGATGACCCATGGTGGACAGTGTTTGGTGGCGCTCCCCAGCTAAAACAAGCTTGGAAGCAGGAGTGGCATCCACTTCCATAAATAGCTTGCCTTGGGAAACCCTATGAACATGGAGAAAGGATGAAAGTCACGTAACTGTCAAGGACTTTCATTCTTAGGGTCTCTATGAGTTGCCTACGACTCAAACGGCACTTAACAACAACAACAGCAACATGACCCTTTCACAAGCCTTTCACTACCCAAGTGGGTAAGGAGTTGGCACTGCCAACTCAAAGACAGGTGATTAAAATCTACCAGCTGTTCTGAGGGAGATTACAGCCTCTGGAAGCCCACTGGAGGGTCAGCTGTGAGTCAGTTCTAATTTGATGACAGTGAGTGAACGGGTTCCTCAGAGATGCCTCTGGATGTGTTTGAACTATCAACTCTGGAATCATCATTGAGTGCTTGATCATTCGGGCCACCTAAGGACTCTGTCTAGACATAAAATCTAAACCGACCCGTTGCTGTCTTGCTGATTTTGGACTCACAGTGACCCCGGGTGGTAGAATGGGATTCCCCACAGATGCTTCTTGACTATAATCTTTACAGACGCAGATCACCAGATCTTTTTTCTGCAGTACTGCTGGCTGTCAAGTTTTAGATTAGTCATTTAATACAGACCAGTTGTGCCACTGAGGGTCTCCACAAAGACATGTTTCTGTTGGTGGTCATTGAGTTGACTGTGATCCGTGGCAGATAGAAAGACATGAGATAGTGGTCACCAGGGTTCCCCTTCCTTGTCCAGGCCCTTTGATCTGAGGTGGTAAGGGACAGGGTAACAGTGAGGTGATAGGGGCTAGGGATGCATAGTGGGGGTGTTGGGTAAGGCGTTCCATATATCCTTGGGGGACTCTGTCCTTTGGAGGCTGCTGGAGGTTCCTTCTCCTCAGACCGGAGTTTGTGGAGTCCTGAGTGCATGGACCTTGGGGCCTGGACCTGAAATGCCCTTCTCCTTGTCGGCCCTCCAGCCCAGCTTAGGACATAGAATCGCTTCCCAGCAGCCTTCTCTCTAAGTCTACCTTTATTAAAAGAACCTTTGTTCAAAGAAGATCAGATCATTAAATTGTTTCTCTACTTGAACTTCTGAGTGATTCATGAATGTGGAGAAGCAGGGCTGGAGAAAGAGGTTTTCTTTTGGCCCATACCTTGAGGTTGAAGAAGGACACATGGCCATTTTATCATCTAAACTGAAGTACATACCCTGGCGAGGGTAGTACAGTTCCTTTCCACTAAGCCAGCAGAGCTCCCTTGGCCGGTGAGAGATTGAAAAGATTTAAATCAACAAACAGTAAGCCTCCGTGTGAGGGAGATCGCATGTAAAAGTCCAGGTTTCCGGGAGTTAGTGGTGATCTGCACTCGCTGAGCTGACGTCCAGGGAAGGCTGGGGTGGCCGGGGCTCTGGTGGACTTGCCCCTTCGATGGGCCCACCTTCTGGCAGCTGTGGGCCTGGGTCTCCTGTGATGTCAAGCAGCTGACTTCCCTTATTGTCTAGGCTGGGTGGGGCTCCTTGGGGTGGACAACTGCATTTTGATTTTGCCTGCCAGCCCAGCACCGTGGTCTTTAGCAACGTGAGGATGTCTTCCTGCAGTGTCTGCCCGAGCTCGGGAGACGGATGGAGCGCGTCTCATACTGAGCAGTGCGTGATTGCCAGCTCTGCGCCCTGTGTGGAGGCCGCTTGCTCTCACGAGGCCCATTTGAGCAGCCACGCTCTCGGGGACATTGCTGAAATCACAGCGGTACTGATGGCCAGTGGGCCCACGGTATGTGTGTGTGTGTGTGGGGGTGTCCCCCCCCAAGAACCTGCTTCTGTAGACAGTGACTCAGGCATGCGCCCCAGAGAACCCAGCCCATTGTCTGTTTATTCCAAGCACTTCCCTAACCCCTCCACGCCCCAAAATAGCCTGAGGTGACACTGTACTTTTTAATCCTCTCCCCACAAATAGAGTTCATTCCACAACACCCACACAACTGTTTCCTTTTTTTGTACTTCCTGGATCTTGGGGAAAAGGGATGCTGGTGATGCAATGAGTAGGTGTCTTCTACTAGCTCAACCCAAAGGCCGTTGGTTCAAATCCACCAGCTGCTCTTGGGGAGAAAGATGAGCAGTGTCCTCTTGTGCAGCGTCTGCCTGTGAACCCCCATGGAGGGTGAGCTGTGGGTCAGTTCTGACTCAGAGGCCGTGAGTTGAGAGTGTTGATTAACTGAAAGGCCATCAGTCTTCATGAGAGAAACGTGTGCCTGGCAATCGGCTGCCCTGAGAGTTAGAGATCCCGTGGGACAGCCTCGCTGTGTCCTGCATGGTCACGGTCACTACAATCAGCTCCTTGACAGTGGATTTCACTTCTGGTCTTTGACTGAATACACGTGACATCACTTTATATTGTGCCAGTCCCAGCATGCACAGCCCCTCGTGTCCTGAAAAGGTGACCCCAGACAATCGTGTCTCCCTCCTGACGTCAGCGCGGCTTGCCTGGCTGGTTGGGGATTTCGGATCTTGAGGTATGCAGAAAAGGAGTTAATCACTTTAAGGTTTAAAAGGAAAAGAGTTCCGCCCGCCCGTTTGCCTTTTGAATCTCGGTACCCTAAGGGTACCTATGGGCTACCTTTACCGGATGTCATTGCATCAGTGGGAATTGCTGTTCAGAACCAGCACAGGCATCTCCGGAAAACGCTAATGAATGATGCAGGAGAGAGTGGGAGGAGCATTCAGGTTTCTTGTCTTCAGAGTCTAGAAAGACGGTCGGCACGTGGGCAGGCAGGAAAATGTCATATGTTTTATAAAGAAGAGGGCACCTGATCCATAGTGGATGTGTGATTAATTCTGTTCATTGATCAGAATGAAGCCCCAGAAAATTGAGACATTAAAAGGGAAGGCTGTGGGTGGTGCTTGAGTCCATACAGAGCTCCAGCCCTCCATAAAGGGACAGGAATGCTGTGGTCTGAGTGGAATTTCCCTTACCTTCTCTGCCCCTCCTGCTTGTGTCCTGTCCTCACTTCTCTTCCCCATCTGCACACCTTGGAAGGTCCCGCCCACCCACCTCTATGTCCTTGACCCAGACCATTTCCTGCCCTACCAGCTCAGGTCATTCTGACCCTGTGTGTATCTGCATGCCCTGGGGCTTTCCCACTAATGATGTTGTGGAGGTACATTGCCAGGCCTTTCTTCCTCAGCACCTCTGGGTACACCTCTGGGCCAGCCTTTCTGTAGCAGCTCTGTGTGTTTACCATTTGCACGCTCGATTGACTCTCTCATTGCTGTTGGGTCAGCACTGACTCAATGACCCTCCGGTGGGTTTCTGTAGCTGTAAGTCGAAAGGAGGAGGCTGTCTGTCTTTCTCTCGAGGAGTTGTGGATTGATCCTCGGGTCTTCTGTGAGACTCGCCTTCTTCCTCTGTGCTCCCTTTTTTTGAAGGGCAGGAAAGAAGCTCAAGTCTGAGGAAGGAAATGCTTCCAGGCCAAGATGCGTCAGAAATGAGAACATCCCTAACTGTGTAAGATAATGAAGAAAATACTTATTTAACTAAAATGGAATTAACAACCAGACCGTC